TGCTCCCAAGCCCATGTGCAGTGCTCAGCCCCAGACATCACTGTCCCCCGGGTATACACAGTGCCGCCTACTGCACACACACACAAACTCACTGAAGGTGACAAAAATCTCCGTTCGGGACATCCGATCGTGAAAGAGGGAGAACAGTGAACGTAGAGCCGCAGAGACTGGGACTCACAGGGCTGAAAGGTGCTGGAACTGTAACATAGCATATGTGTGACTTCGTTTGAAACGTGCAGATCCTTGTGGAATAAAATACGCAGCCTGGCCTGGGACTTCGGCCCCCCACACTTCCCTTCCAGTCCACCAGAGGGCGGCAGAGTCCCTCCAGCCTGAGGCCTTCCCAGGGGATGCCGACCTCCCTCAGCAGAACCCGTAGCCAAGCAGGGTCCACCCTCACCAGGGTCACCTCGGCCCAAGTCCTCAACGTCCTCCATGCTCCCCACACGGACTCTTGTCAACTCCTTCCTGACCTGGCGGCCGCCAACGTAACACCACACCCTCTGCAGGCAGCTCCTGCCCCACACACCTGCTCCTTCCCTGGGCTCAGTTAAAACGACATCTCCCAGGGCAGCGCTGGGGCACGCGACGCCGCACTGCGCCCTTTCCCCTCGTGACTTCCCTCCATCCTCATCAACTCTTTCTGTCACTGCTCCCTAAATGCCCGCCTCTGCTCCATCTGTCCTGTTCTGTGGGGCATCCTAGGCCAAACCTAGCGCTGACACAGAACAGCGGCTGCCTGAGGGCCCACAGCTTCCCCGGGAATCCGTCAGGCACCCTGTGACCTGCCTGCCCGCTGCACCCCGTGGGGCTCAGAGCGCGCGTGATGCTCACACACAGGCACCACATAGGATGTGACCACCTACCCCCGGCTGTCCCTTGGGAAACAGACCTCTCCTGTGTCCCTGCCGGGAGAACGGGGTATTATTGCTCTTTGCTCTGAGAACACAACTCACCCCCACCAGCCTTCTCAGGTGTGAGCGACGTCCCTCCAGAGAGGCTCTCTGGTGACTGCCTGTTCCTCCTCTACAGAGAGCAGCTTGGCCGGGTGAAAACCCGCAGGACAGAACCCTGGGTATGTCAGCACATGGAGGGCTGAGCCCATCACGGCCACGGAGTAAGTCTGGATGAATCTCTCCAGCTCTGAATCCCTGCTGTGTCCCAGGTTCCCTTTCCTGTATCTCAACGAGTCATGTTCCATGGGGTTCGTGGGTAACTCCCCACTTCCTCCTGCACCACCACGGGGAAGATGTGGTGTCCACAGGACAATCAGACGGCCAGGGAAGAGAGGACACCAAAGATGGTCAGGAAGAGATGAGAGACCCACCCACCAGTCCCAAGGGAGCAATAGAGTGACTGAGAACTGTCCCTTTCACCGTGGGAGTCACAGCCCCCACTGAGCAACCAGCACATGCCTCTCCTCCCAAGAGGCATGAGAGATTC